TGAGCCTGGTAACAGATGGTTTTAATAGAACATACAAACGTAGTATCAAAATACTCAAGAAAGAGCAATATTTTAAAAGGCATGTGTATTAATACAGTTCAGGCTAGATTGCTAGACTAGCAACAATGGTCTTCTCTGTTGTGGCCCCCGCCTTTGGAATCGTCTGTCTGAGGAGGTCACGAAGGCTCCCAGTCTCATCAGATCTCAGAAGCTAAGCAGTAGATATCTACTTAAGAGAGACACTGATGTTTACAAGCACTGAAAAAGTAAGGAGGTTATTTAGAGCTGAAAGGGTGAGACATTAGGTTGTTGACTGACGGATGCTGGGAGACTGGTAAATGGGCAATCCTGCTCTGTAGCAGAGAATTAGTTTGGATAACTCTTTGGTCCAACCTAGATCTATAATGAGCTAAGGTATCTGGATATAATGCACTGGTACTCTACAACATTAAGTTCTGATTCCACGGTGCAACTAGGATTGCAAGCACTCTTTTCTTTAAAAGTATCTTCTGAGAGTATTTCAAGAAGCACCATGAAATTAAATGGAAAGGACAGCAGTACAGAAACTAAAAAGAGGAAATAATTTGGGAGTTAGGAATGGATAGGGAGCTGAAATATGGGAAACAGAAAATGGTGCATGGAGAAAGAGCTCTAAGATTACAGCTGTATATATTTCCACATTCATACTATGGAATTTGGTATTGGTCAAATCGGCATCTTGAGAACTTAAATTTTCACTTAAGAAGCAAAGTTTCTAGTCCTAGGCTGCAAACATATGTTGGGGAACTGAGCAGTTTTTCCAGCATGTATTTTGTTCCTTTCCATAACAGAGAGAAGCAAAATGATTTAGATTAATAAATAAACACAAACTTAACCAAAGTACATAATTTATAAAAGTCACAGAGTCCAGCTTTCCTTGGTTGAATCCTATGCCTGGCTGAATCCTCTCCTCAACCCAAACTGCAGACTTGTGAAGGAAGCTAGTAATCTCTACCAAAACGTTCAGCCCCATCCTTGGCCCAGCGTAAAGACTGTGATGTCACTGGTTCAAATCTCATTGCAAAGTCAAATTCATGAGGTAAACTACCACTCTCAGCCCTCTCAATTTCCCATCTTAGAATACTAATCCATGTGAAAGTATGATACAAATATTAAGTATTTATTACTAAATAAATGTATGATGAAACATAATTCCATCACAAGTAATAACATCTGAACCAGACTCAAACTAGTTTTGTATAGATGTGTCCCAAATTCAGTTTCTAAAATTTCAACAAGTATAACTTACATCTTACCACAATGACTACAGATTTTCTGCATTTATGTGCTTCAAATAAAAACTAAAGACACAAAATAGTTGTCCCAGGATATCTACTCAAAGTCCAGCCCATATCTACAATAAATCACCTTGCAAAGGTACTAATTAGCACTACCACAATTAAGCAGCAACATAATATTTCATTAGGAACAGTGAGAGCAGTTGTAAGGAAGGGATTAAGCCCTGAAAACTCAACCCTGGCCTGAATCTGCACAGGGAAACAGTAACGCCAGCATAGCTTACAGGGCTGATGTAAGCCATAGCAAGACAAGCAGTGTGTTGGAAGTACTATCACATTTACAGACAACCTACGTATTAGACTTATTGCTGTCAGAAGTGAACATAATACTGACAGTGCAATCCTATGCACTCCTAGCCCAAACCCACTGATTTTAGTGGGGGCAGTCTAGAGTAACTGCACTGAGTTGCACTGTAAGACAATGTGACAGATGTGATGCGGGCTGGTTCAAATTTTCACTTCAGCCACAAACTTACTTAGATGGCCTTAGGCAAGGTATTCTCAGTCAGCCTCAGGCCCCTTATTTACCATACGGGGATAAGGAGACGGGCCTACCTTACAGGGCAAGCTGTTCTAAGGTTCACTGTCGTAACGCGTACCGCTCTTTAACCATTTCCCAGAGAAGCAAGCAGCCCTGTCAGGCCTGCCGCAGTCAAAGCAACCAAGTACCCCTTGCACCACCATAAAAGACGCATAAAGATCCCACCATAAAAAAGGTGAGCGTCCTTAAGGTGACACCAGGCTCTTGGTTGTTTTGGCCCCAGCACTCCGGCTATTATTACTGTGGGCCTCTGGAGGCCGATCATCGAGGGAGGGAGGGAGGCAGGGCTCCCCCCCCCCTTGCACACGGGGGAGGGCGGCGGCGATGCCGGCGAGGGAGGGGCGCTCGTCTTCAGCCTGCTCTCTCACCTTTCGCGGTCTCGGTCGGGTAGAGCTTCTGGGCCTTGTTGAGGAAGCGCAGCGCCCGCTCCCTGTTGCCGGCCTCCAGGGCCTCCCGGGCGATGCCGATGCATTTCTCCGCCTCGTCGCGGTTCCCTTCCATGGGCTTCTCCTTCCTCCGCCTCCGCCCGCCGCAGCGCAGTGAAAAGGGGCCTGACGGGGCCAGAGCGGTGAGGCCAACCCGACGGGCGCCTCTGAGGGGACCCACCGGGGCAGGGGCTGACTCGGCTGGGCGGCTCGGTTCGCGGCCTCCGGCTCACGCCATGCCTTTCAGACCGCGGCCGTCGGCGGTGGCCCTCCGCCTCATCATCCCCTTCTTCCGCCCCCCACCTTCACGCGGAGTACCCACCGAGGCCGCCACTGGAAACGCGGAGCCGGCAAAGCCCTCAGCCGCCGTCGCCGCTCTCTCGCTTCCGGGGACAGACCGCAACCGGTTGTCGGGCAAGCTCTACGCATGCGCGGCTCGGCTCCCCAGCAAAGCGCCGGCATCAGCCGCGGCTGAAAGCAGCGCTTGATGAGTGGGAACCGGTGCTGTAAAATAGCCTTTGGAAGCAGAACAGGCCGCTTAGGAGATTAAAAATATAATTACTATAGTTGTGCCCTGGAACCTGGCTTAAGTGTTTTGCTCTTTCACGCACCAGCTTAATACAAACGGCCCGTCCAGATCTGCTCTAGACCGTATGTTCACTTGGGAGTTGCTTACTCTCCTCTACTGTATCCATTACGGAATTAAGGCAGGGAAGTTCAGATATTTTAGTTAACACATCAGAAGACTAAAGAAACAATTAATGCTTCAGGCTGAAGTTCTCCTTTGTAACACTTTCCCCCCACAATATGGTTGTTCAACTTGAGTATTTTCAATAAGGATGCCTTTTTTGTCATTAGACATTATACAATATAGGTCTCTAGTCCTGCAGGCAGCAGGGCCATTCTCCTTTGAACTTTAGAGGCCAGTACACCTGCTCAAACTGTAGGGCACAATTTCAAAATTAATAATCCTAGAGTTCTCAAGCCCAGAATGAAACAAAGCTGAGCAGCCCAAGAGATTTCCGGTTTTTGTTTTTTTAAAAATACATGTTCTCACTCTACTTTCCCCCTTGGTAATTCTCATACTCTATACATCTGCCTTTACAGAAAAACCTGAGACACAGAGTTAAGACCACAGAAAGCAGACCATGTACTCAGTCCTTCCTACAGCAAAAGACATGAGCAAAAATTGACTCTCTATTCTTAACACTTTTTTTAGCATCCTAGTTAGACCCAAAAGGGGCTTTCTTTCTTTTTTTGTTATCCTCTACTGGAATACCATTAATTGTGATATCAGAAGTACCTTTATTAGATCTATAATCTCAGTTTGAGTGATAGGGAGAGATCACTGTACTTGGTAAAAACAGTGGCAGCAGAACCAGGCCAGCTCCCCTGTCCCCTCCAAGGTCTGAAGACTCAGGTATGCAAAAAAATATAACTTTATAAATTAATCCCCTAAAAGTACCTCACCCTGACATGGATGGCCCAGGCTAACCTTATCTCATTAAATCTCAGAAGCTAAGCAGGGTCAGTCCTGACCTCCAAGGAATCCCAGGGTTGTGAGGTAGAAGACAGGCAATAGCAAACCACCTATTTTGATGTCTCTTGCCTTGAAAGCCCAACAGGGTTGCCATAAAGTCAGCTGTGATGGCACTTCCCACCACCACCACCAAAAATACCTCACAACAGTTGCATGAAGTATGAACTGACTTCAGCACATGGAATGCCGGTAAATGTTATTAGTTCAGCATTTCCCCAATTTAACTATGATTACAATTTTAAAAAGCACCAGTACACCAGTAATGAGCTGCGGTGGCTCAAGTGGTTAAGACGCTGAACTGCAGGCTGTGGAAGGTTGGTAGTTCAGCAGTTCAAGACCCGAGTATGCCGCATGACGGAGTGAGCTCCCGTCTCTAGTTCCAGCTCCTGCCAACCTAGCAGTTCAAAAGCAAGAAATTGCAAGTAGATAGGTACCACTTTGGTGGGAAGGTAACAGCGTTCCGTGCACCTTGGTGTTTAGTCATGCCGGCCACATGACCACAGAAACGTCTACGGACAGCACTGGCTCTTCGGCTTGGAAACGGAGATGAGCACCACAACCCTAGAGTTGGACTCAACTGGCTTTCGAGCAAGGGAACCTTTACCTTTACACCAGTAGCATCTGCCAATTGAACACCTACATTTTTGAAAGTTTAATATTTTATTTATAAAACACACTAAGAACCATACATTACATAATTTTGAATGCCAATTAGTATCATGCCCTTGCTCTGCCAGACTGAAAGGATGAAGCAAGCATTTCCATCTAGGGTCTTTAATTAGACCCAATCTACACCCTTGTCCCCTCTCATTTCAAGTTGGCCAGCTTGCTCACTCTTCCCCACAGGCCATTTTCTTTGCAGCAAGATACAAAAAGGAAATGGGAAAATGAGATATGTGGTATAAGGAATATGATATAACCAGTGTTTTTAAAATTTAGGATATTTCTATGCTATCTCTTCAGAGCCCTGCTGAAGGGAGCTTGCAATTTAAAAAAGTACAAAAAAGTTAGAAGATAAATAAGGTACTTTCTTATTTCCTGCATATTTCTTAAAGACACTGTTGCAACGTTGAATAGTCAAAAGTTTGCCAAAAATGATCTTGATAAGCAAAGCAGACAACATTCATACTGATAACATTTATTGAATTATCCACTGGAATGGCAGAAAGGTCTTTACAAAAAAAAACAACACAACCCGCTTTTCAGTTTCTGCTTATTAAAATCCTTTACTTTAACTAGAAGAGATTAACATCAGCAACAAGGCTTTGTACTTCACATTCTTTTATTAGTTTTGCAACAGCTCCTGTTCTTAAGTGACCAAAGTCTCTTGTAGTTAAATCTTAGCTTATAACTGCAAAAAATTTGAATGAAGTAACTTGAAGCGTAAAAAAAATTACAGATCAGCAACAAAATCATGAATCATTAAAATCCAACATTTCTAAAAACAGTCAGGAACCACTACAGACCACAGCTTCTCTGAAGCCATGTAACACTTAAATAAGGTTAAGACTTCAAATGAGGAATTTTGGTTTGTTAGAAAGCTCAATGAGCTCCAGCTTCAAGGTTACAGAAGGCAAAATTGTGTTTCACAGATGCAGTCCACTGGAAACCCACCAAGAGTCCAAAAAAAGAAAAAGAAAAGAAGAATTCAAGCATCCTTTAAACAGTCTTCTGTTGCCCTTTCTTTCCAATGAGAGATTTATGGATATGTGGAATTACACCTAAGGATACAAGAAAAAAAATTATATCAATTTGTTCAAATGATGAAAAGTCATTAACAGTCCATATGATGGATGCCAGCTTCCAGGTGGGACCTGAAGATCCCCTGGAATTATAGCTCATCTCTCAGTTCCTACAGACATCAGCTTCCCTGGAGGAAATGGATGCTTTGGAGGATGGACTCTCCATCTCCAAGGGTTTCCCCAACCTGGAACTGGCAACCCTTTCACAGCATTAGAACAAAACTACATTGCTGCATATTTACATAAGACTTTGTACTATTCAAGTTGGAACATACCTCCACCAGCAATTGTTGCCTTGATGAGAGAATCAAGTTCTTCATCACCTCGGATTGCAAGCTGCAAGTGACGGGGAGTAATTCGCTTCACTTTCAAGTCTTTGGATGCATTTCCTGCTAACTCAAGAACCTGCAATGAAGATTTTGCTATCAGGTGGGCAGCATTTCTTCTGCATATTATTTCTGGATACTTGTTTGTTCATTTTCAGCTTCCCACAACCCCAGCATCGCATACAGAACAGAGGTCAAAGAGGCTCCTACCTCAGCTGTGAGGTACTCCAGGATAGCAGCACTATACACAGCAGCCGTCGCCCCAACTCGTCCATGACTCGTAGTCCTTGACTTTAAATGCCGATGAATACGACCAACAGGGAACTGCATATGTAGAAAAAAGAATTACAGCAGAAATACAAGCATCTCTTAATTGAAACTTCTACATTCCAAAGCATTCTTGAAACAGGAAAGGCCAATAAGAAATAGGGATTTTCAGAGTACAACCAGAAGAGAAATGAGTAGCCCACGTGGGTGGTGGTGGAACCAGGAACCATACCAACATTTCCTCGCCCACAATTCCCCACCCCAAAGCCTCAGAACAGTGATAACGCCTGAACAAAAGGCGCCCACCTTGAACTTCTCCCACGTGCTCACCTGTAAGCCAGCTCTCTGCGAACGAGACACCGTCTTAGTTTTGGTCTTGCCAGAGTCCTTCCCGGCTTTTCCCCCAGCCTAACACATAAAGGGA